CACTGGCAAGGCTGGAGGGGGCAGGGGGTCGGGAATGAGGGGCATCGGCACTGCTGTGGGGCAGGGAGCAGAACCGGGCTAGCCAGGGACGATGGGTCTGGCCCCGGTTGCTTTCACACATCCTGTCCCTTTCTCCCTGGCAGAAAGTGGACCCCACGGGCCAGCCGACCTGCTCCGCCCACCCCGCCCGCTTCTCCCCGGATGACAAGTACTCCCGCCACCGCATCACCATCAAGAAGCGCTTCGGGGTCCTGATGACGCAGCAGCCGCAGGCCGTCCTCTGAGCCGTCCGCCGGCACCACCGCTGAGCCGAGATGGGGCCAGGCTCCTCCCCGAAGCCGGCCCCCCGCTGCCGCCGGGACCCTCGCCTGTGTCTAGCCTCCGACTCCACAACCCTGCTCCTCTTGGCAGCAAATAAATTGTCTTGATCCCACATCATCTGTCTGGTTTGCTCCTTCCCGTTTCCTGGTCTGGCCTGCCAGGGAACACCCCCAAATCATTCCTAATTGACCTGTCTGGAGGTGCTGCTGCCAGGCCACTTGGTTTCACCATTGCAACACATTTGTTTAAACAACTTCATCGTAGCCGGGGGAGCGACGAGATTTTTGGGTGTAAAAAGTACCAAAAGAATAAAGTGCTGTAAAACTTAAAGCAAACATTCAGTTTTCTCCAAATTTCAGTTGTGGGGAGGTACCTCCTGGACTTCCCACTCGTACCACGGCGCTAGGGGATCTCTCACGTGGTTCGGGATGGGTCAGCCAGCAGGGGAAGGTGTGGGGCAGAGAGCAGGGACTTATCCGCCCCTGGTGAGGTTGATAGGAACAGTGGGGGGCTTTTGGGAGTAGATCTGGAAGCAGGAACCAATTTGGCCCTTGTCAGTGGTCATTCGAAACTGGGGGGGAGACTGAGGGCCGGATGTGGCCCCCAGCTTACTTGGATCCAGCCCCTGAGACTCCGTGCCCCCTCCCCCCCATTCCTGCATTGGAGAGCCTGTGCTGGTGTTCAGCCCTCTCCCCCCACTGGAGCACACATAAAAAGGGCCAGACTGGGTCAGACCAAAGGTTGATCCAGCCCAGTGTCCTGTCTGCCCACAGTGGCCAATGTCAGGTGCCCCAGAGGGAGTGACGAGAACAGATAATGATCAAGCGATCTCTCTCCTGCCATCCATCTCCACACACTGACTAACAGAGGCGAGGGACCCCATTCCTTACCCATCCTGGCTAATAGCCATTAATGGACTTAACCTCCATGAATGTATCTAGTTCTCCTTTAAACCCTGTTATAGTCTTATCCTTCACAGCCTCCTCAGGCAAGGAGTTCCACAGATTGTGCACTGTGTGAAGAACTTCCTTTGATTTGTTCTAAACCTGCTGCCCATTCATTTCATTTGGTGGCTCCTAGTTCTTACATTATGGGACCAAGTAAATAACTTTTCCTTATTCACTTTCTCCACACCAATTGTGATTTTTATAGACCTCGATCCTATCCCCCCATCGTCGCCTCTTTTCCAAGCTGAAAAAGCCTAGTCTCTTTAATTTCTCCCCATATGGGACCCGTTCCAAACCCCTCGTCATTTTAGTTGCCCTTCTCTGAGGCTAGTATATCTTTTTTGAGATGAGACCACGTCTGTACGCAGTATTCAAGACGCGGACGTACCAAAATCTAGGCTTTTTGCTTCTCACTGGTGTGCACCTCATTTTTCTACGGGTAAGTGGCCCCCGAGTGGTCGAGATGATTGCCTAATACAGGCATCGCCGTGCTCGGCCTGAGGGGTTATAGAGGCTGGCAGCGGGGGTGAGCGAATTTGAGGGGGGAAAGGGACTGACGGGGTGATGGAGCTGAGCCGAGGGTCCGGGCTGTGGGGCAGCACCGATGGGTGGAGGGATCCATGGGGAACACGGCCGGCTCAGCAGCTCCTCAGCACCTCTTGGGGAATGCCAGGCATCGGCTTGGCGTGGAGATGGGAGTTTCTATGACCATGGGAAGGCTTGACAATAACCTGAGTGGGGATTAACGTACAGCCAAGCACGAATAAGGGTGGGGACCCGGCCCACGTGCTCCGTCGGCTGCCCCTTTGCAGGCAGTGGCGGGGGGATTGGCACGGGACACGTGGGCAGCCACGCGGCCCCGAGCGTGGCCCTAGAGAGCGCCTCGCCCTTGGGAGCTGTGGGGGGAAGCCAGGACAGGGATAGCAGGGGGCTGTGGGTTGAGTGTGCATGTGGGGGGGATGCCAGTAGGCTATAGGTTGGGATTCGGGATGGAGGGGCATGGCAGACCTGTGGGGAGGGGGATCCCAGGGGACTGTGGGTCGGGATGGAGGGGCAATCGGGAGGCTGGTGGTGGGGTCGGGGCCTCGC